CTTTTCGAATTATTTAAACAATGTCTCCAACATATAAATGTAAAACAAGAGAGTCATTGTTCTTCGGGATGGTAAGGTGGACAATTTTTTACTCTACATCACAGGAGCATCTTTGCATGAATCAATACTAATTATTCAATCAGTTGACCTTCGATGTTGGAGATTAGAGAAGAAAACTTCATAACAACGGAGTATGGTCGTTCTATCCAAGTTTAAAACTCAAGCATGAGAACCCCGCTCAAACAATTCATAGGGGCAGAACAAATGCTAATAAGAAAGTTGCAAATCGATTAGTTAGACATGACGATAATGTTGAATATCATATTTCTTTTAATATTTTAGTGGAAAGTCTTGTAGTTCCCACTATAGTATCACTAAAGTGACTAAACACCTCGTGCATTATATGAAATCAAAAGGTGACAACAAAATGACAAATTGAAAAACATTTAACATAAAAGAAGTGTCCTACTACATAAGACCTAGGAGACAAACATGTACTTAAAATAAGATTAATAAATATAATTATAAATTATGTATAGACTACATAAGCATTTCGAAGGAGTCCACAAGTGCATGCATATGCATTTGCCGCAAGAATTTAAGGGAAAATGCATGTGTACAGAAAAAATTTCACAGAATTCCATCAGATGTGTACATGGATGTGGGTCCCATTGTTAATAAAATATTCCAAAAAATGCCGGTCCCACTCGTGTTGTGTGTGGTCTGTAAGTTTGACAGAAAATTTTTTTCTATACACCAAGAATGGTCTAGAATTTAAATGGGCTGAAACCATTTGTACAGAAAAATGGCTACAGAATTTCACTAGAAATCTCACATGGAGGTAGGTCTCATTGTGAATAAAATATTGCAAAAAATGTGGGCCCCGCCTGTGTTGTGTGTGATCTGGTGGAATTCTTTGTGCAAAGTATTTTGTGCACATAGCAGGGTTCAAATTTTTGGTGTCACATAAACACGTGATGGGCAAGTAAACATATCTAGATTTTCTTCAATTTTATTAAAAATAATTATAATTATTATTTATATTTAACGGCTGAAATAAATATTAACGCTAACAAGACTAAATTAGTGGGGCATTACCAGTATAAATATTTTTTTAAGTAAGAGATGAATGCCGACATCATCTGTGAAATGACTTTCAGCCTGAGTTTACTATAAATTAAAGTAGATTCAATAGGAACTTAATTTTTTAAAGTAACAATTATTTTAATTTAATTTCTTCCAGACTGATTTTATTTTAAATTTATAAATAACTATTACACCAACCCTTTTCTGGTTGCTTTATTGCAAGTTTTTTGCTCAATTTCTGCATGGAATAAATCAATTATCGGTCCTGAATTTATTCACACAAACTTACTTTTCCTTTTATGAACAAAAAATCATTATATAACTTTTTTTTTCTCATAAAATTATTAAGAACTTTTTTTCCTTAAAAAATAAAGACCAGAAAGAAAAGAAAAATCACACAATTAATATAAATCTGTCGATGTTACATGTTAAAAAAATTAATTTTATTAATAAGAATAATTCAAAATCTTAATTATTTATTTTTATATTAAACGATATGAGATTTTATCATTAACATATCTTGCAAAATGGTGAATCATTTATGCC